TGTCTTTTTCTCGCTCGTTCGCTCGCTCGCTCGCTCTCTCTTTCTCTCTCTCTCTCTCTAGCCCTAGAAAACAATATATAGTTTATAACAGTGCATATGAATATGTTCTCTAAATCTGTCTCGCTCGCTCGTTCGCTCTCTGCTCGCTGTCTCTTACTACTCTAGTCTTACTTTCTCTATTTTCTTCAACCTCTTGCTACTGTCTTCCACTAAATATCTGTCTCTTTCGCTCTGTGTCTCTCTCTATCTCTATCTCTCGGTATTTGTTTTTTGCATTTGGCACGCTTTGAACCAGAAATATGAACTTTAAAACCGAATAACTAAACCAAGAATTAGACTAACCGGAATATGGAAAAGAGTACAACAAGATCTGATTTTCTATTGGCAAAATAAAAAATAAAAAGAAAACTAAACTTTCGCATAGTTCACACACATATGCATACTATATCAAGCACACACATACACACACACACACATATACACATATACACCCATACAAACGCCTAGCTAAGCACACATGCAAGCAAATTTCACTCGTCCTTTTTTCGTGACTTTTTTTTTAATGTTACCTAGTCAGAAACGCCTGCTGCTTACGAAATCGCACTCACAGCAAGAAAACTAGAAAATCTAAATGGAAAAGTCACTCAAAAATTATAAAGAAAACAAAAAGTACAGTCGCTCGCAGGTGTAAATATATGAAATCAGCACTAAATCCGCTTGAAAATGCTGATCAAAGTTAACAATTAGAATTCTATACCTTTGTCAATTGAAAACATTAAAAACCTTTATAAAAAAAACTGTTTAAGTTACAACTAATTGGCTTTATAATGAACAACATACATAGTTATGTTTGTTTTAAAATAAATTCTATTATTGCTACTTCCAAAAATGCTCAAAAAGCATTCTTTAAATGCACTTAAAAGTACATATTTTCCAAAACTTCTTAAAAATTTTAACTAATTTACGAATTTATAAATGCAAAAGTTTAACTACTTCTATTTTCTGTGTTGTATTTCTTACTTTTAACTTTATTGCTTATTAGTTTGCTTAATATATGAACTTAATATATAAACTAACTAACCATTAATCGTTTTCAAAGTATAACAAAACAGAAAATTAAAAGAATAACGTGCGAGCGGCTTATGCAAACATTAAAAAAAAAACATACACATACACATGCAAACCACACGCATAGAGCAATCAATAACAATTAGGCAGTCTAGCGGTATTTTAGTGTTGTGCAGCGCAAAAAAAAAAGCAACATAGTGCAAAAAATCGCAAAAATATATCAAATCCAATTAGACAATCAAGCAAAAATTCGATTAAAAATCTAAGTAAAAGTTTTGCCTACTACCGCCCGCCGCTTTTACTATCTCTCTCTATCTATCTCTATCTCTATCTCTATCTATCTCTATCTCTCTTTATCACTCTATCTCTCTCTATTTCTATATCCGCCTGTCTCTATTTCACAATATTTATTGAACGTATCCAAAACGATTTTTTGATGTAACTCCTTTATTTATCTCTCGTTTTATCTCTCTCTCTCTCTCTCTTTGTTTCTCCTATCAATATGCAATCCATCAAAAACCAATTTCTGATCCCAAAAAAACCAAACCCGAATAAATTACAGATAAATTGGATGGAACTTTCTCAAGATCCAGATCATCGTCAATGTCCAGCATTGATATGTCTTCCTCTGAATCTGTTACCTGTTTAGCTTTTATCGAGAGTTATGCAAAACGAAATGGTAAGATTTTTCTCAATTATATTTTTGATTTATTTAAATTAAAAATTATACATATTTTCTTCTAGATATTTTGACACTTGTTCCTACTTTGTGGATTGGAACTAGTTTCGGTTCGATACTGACATTGTTCATCACCATGCCGGAGCGAGATGTGCGCAAATCTCAGCCAGTATTGATAACAATAAATGGTAAGTGATCAATAGGTTATAATTTAGATGTCTGAAAAGGAATCAGAAATATTTCATCTATAATCTAAATTGTAAACTTTATCATTACCCTTTCAGGTGGCCCCGTGGTACGACTCAAAGGATCCATAACTTCCATGTCTTTTTTAGACTCATACGGTTCGATCATACCCTATACGTTTGAGACCTGGCGTGATGAGAAAAGGGACAACAAAGACCGTAAGATTGACTATAACCTATTGTTCCAATTGGCTAATCCCCTTTTGTATTCTATATCGATTATAGGCACACCCACAAAGAGCAGCAGCCGCACCAGTCCCACATTCACACCGACAACTGCCAATACAATATCAAACACTTCGGTCGCTGGTGGGATGTCGGGTGGTGCCTCCTCCGTTACAGGAGGAGCTGTCGGCGGTGGTGCGGCAAGTGGTGGAGCTGCCGCCGGCGGGCCAGCTGGCGGTGCTGGTGGAGCATCGACGGGAGGAGCGGCCGGCGGCAGTGGAACGGCGACCGGCGGAGGTGGGATGAGCAGCAGCAGCGCCAGCAGCAGCGGCATCAGCGGAAGTGTGAGCACCGGCCTGGAAACTCTCACCGATCGACAATACATCGTTATCGCTAGCGAGAAGCAAACAAAAGTCTTCGATGTCGCCAACCAGTGCTGCATCAACCGCATACAATTATCGGAAATGGATTTTGCAGTCAAGGCAGAAACTATCACGATGAAAGGTACCAGATCTAGGTTAAAAGACAAAAATGGTCAACAATTTACTTTTTCAACTTTAAATGCAATTGGGAAACAAAATACGAGTTCAGCAAGGCATAACATTCCAAATTTGGACCATTATTGGCTTAGTTATGGGAAATGTACTGTCACTTTAAGGGGAAAATTGGGGAATCCCAAAATTTGCATATTTTATAAGGGGTACCATCATCAAAATTTTCAAAAAATGGCCCGAATTTGACATTTCAAACTGTGAATGCAGTTTTGATAAGAATAAGAAAACAAACTCAGCGAGGTATTATATTCCATATTTGGACCATTTTTGGCCAAGTTATGAGCAAAATACTGTCGAGTTTGAAGAATCCAAAAGTCGAATTTTCGATAAGGGGTACCATCATCAAAATTTTCAAAAAATGGCCAAAAATTGACATTTCAAACTGTGAATGCAGTTCAGTTGGAATTTTAATTGCGAGTTCGGGGATGTATGACATTCCATATTTGATCCATTATTGGCTTAGTTATGAGAAGACTACTGTCACATTGGGGTATAATTGGGGAATCTCAAAATTCACATTTTTGATAAGGTGTATTTCTTATTAATCAATTTTCTATTGATTTCAGATGGCTCTTGCTTAGCAACCTATCTTTCGAATGGCCATCTAATGGTACATAGTCTTCCTAGTCTAAAACTGTTATTGGATACTGATTTCTTACCGCTTATGGAACTAAGGTGAGTCTCTATTTAAATTAAAACTAACCTCCCATTTGACCAGACTAATCTTCCGCCCTCTGCTTAGTTTTCAAACAAAATGTAAACAGGGAATTGTGGATCCAATGCTTTCGATATGGGGTCAACAGATCATTGTTCATGAAGATACAACTCAGTATGTTAGGAGTTGATAACAAATCATAGTGGTTCATTTTATACAAATATTTTTGTTTCTATTCCACAGAATATCAAAAATATTTTGCTTTAGTCATAAAGGTCATGGATTGTACATGGCATCGCCCACCGAAATTCAAAAATTCACGATATCATCGGAATTTTGGTAAGCATAAAATATATAATCTAGTTACAAGAGATATATAATTATATATATATTCAAAATATTACCATTTTATCTTCTTTTTAGTCAATTTATTTTGGAGATGATGGGTGAACTATATACAGTACACGAAATGCCCGAACAGCCGAAGGAGGGTTTCTTCAAGGGTCTATTTGGCGGCGGCGCCAAGCTCCTGGATCGTGAGGAGCTATGTATATATATAACTTTATTAATAATTTAATGATTTTAAATATTAATCATGCATTTAATCCCATAACAGTTGGCGAGCAAAGTGGGAAACCGAATCGATCGGTGGCCCGGCATATACCTGGGCCCAATTTGGAGCAGCTCGGCCAACGAGCTTCCACCGCCGCATCAGAGATCAGCCGGGCGCACCAGCTGGCCATGGAGCGCGGCGAGAAGCTCAATTTGCTGGAGGAGCGCGCTGAGCGCATGGCCAACACTGCTCAAGATTTCAGCGGCACTGCGCATCAATTAATGCTTAAATATAAAGACAAGAAGTGGTATCAGTTGTAAAATATCTATTTTAGGAGCCAATTCTACCACAGTTATTGTAATATTGCTTTTATAACACTTTCTACTACATTACGAGTAAAGTACACTTATTTAATTTCTGTTTTCAAGTCGTCACGTTATTTACAAAAACCGAAAACCAACAAAAAAAAACAACAAAACCGAAAATTCACAAAAACAAGGACAAAAAAACTGAAAGATAAAAACCAACAAAAAAAACTGTTTTTAATAAAAATATATAGACCAAAAAACAGGCACTATGGCGTCTTAATGGATAGTTGGATGTACAAAAAAATAAAACAAAGTAGCAGTGGATAAATCAATCGCTCTTGGAAAGTCAATACAATAAGCACCTGCTGTTGAAGTCACATTTCAAAAAGAATTTAAACAATACACACGTGTAAAAAGTGTAAGATTTGGCCAATTTGAATATAGCGCGAAACTGAACAGTGTTAAGGAGTGTCGCACCGTTGCCACCACAATTACAATCGATTGTTGGACCAACCAATCGCATCGCAACTATAGCTCACACATCATACACATATAGTGCTCTCTGCAGATCTGGCAACATTGGATATCAGGTAAAAGCATTTTCGCAAAAATAGAGCATTGTATTTTCGGTAAGAAAGTATAAAAGTTAACCCAACTTTTGTTCCGTTTTTAGGTATACAAATTTCTTATAAAAACCATAAAACCTAACCAATTAAATAAACATCTAGAAGATATCGATATATCGCTGAAGCGATTTCCCAAGAATCGATTAAATTCCAGATGGCTGACCCGAGTTGTTTCAGCCAAACTCAACTTAAACCAATCGATTTAGGGGCAATTATTTTAACGCAGAATTTGAGTGCGCGGCATCTTTTCTTTTCTTTTCTTTTCGCGTCCGTGCAATATTTTATGAACTAATAAGCGTCCGCGAAAGTGTGAGGGAAAACGGCGAAAAGAGGAAAAACGAAAACGGATCTGCGTCGAAATTTTCCCCGTTCCGATTTTTTTTTCTCCACCAGCAGCAGCGAAGCAGTGGCAGAGCAAAAGCAGCGCAGTTTGAGCAGCGAATATATTTGTAAGAGAGCCCCAACCTTGAGAAAAAACAACCAGCCAGGCAGTAAATTGTTCGTTTTCCCGTCTGCTGGTAAGATATTTGCGATTGTTCGGACTGGAAACAGTATATCCGCGAGGATCATACATTTTCTTTTCCCTCATTTCGTCCAGTTTCAAATGCGTGCTAAATATGCAAACGTGTATGTGTGTGGTTTCTTTGCTAGTGTGCGTGTCTCGCTGCGCGCATCAATGTGTTCGTTCGTTTCTATACACGCGTGTGTGTATTTGTGCCTTCGAAATTTTCTTTTGTGTAAAACATTTGTAAGGTGCAACTGCAGCTGTGTGCGTGTGTGTGTATCGCTTTGACCGCCGTTGTTGTTGTTGTTGTGCGTCATAGCAATAAGAGTGTGTGTGTCCGTGAGTCTGTTTGTATGTGTAATATGCATTCCAACGGGGTAAGGTAGAAGAGGAAGCAGTACCTGTCGCCAAACTATCGTTTATCGATGTCTGTCTGTCTGTGTTTATTTAGAAATTCCCTTTCCATCTTCCAAAAACCCTCCCCCACCACTACTTTAGGAAAATTGCCCCCGCCCCCTTTTTGAACACCAATTGGTGGATCGACTGTAATCGATAATGCAGATATATCGATTGGTCTACTGGTCAGGAAAAAACACGTAAAGTGCAAGCTGGTGGAAAAAAAGCAAAACAAATCAAAAAGAAGAGGAAGAAGTGGTGGAAAAGAAAGTATAGACAAGAGCAGACAACAAAATCAGCTTTAGTAATATTCGTTAAATGTCACCTGGGTTCGTAAATCATTGTTATTGTTGTTATAGTCGCGATTTTTAATTGAACCCATTTAAAACTATCCAAGCCATAGTAATTTTTATTACTCTCTGATGTACTTTAAAGTCCAATAAGTATTGCCAAACAAATAATGTAACACTCTCTATAAAAAAAAACTTCATTACTAGGCTTACCCTTGATATAGCCTAATACTTTTTATAATGGTGTAATTCATGATGTTTGCAGTGTATATATTAAATCCAGTTTTAATCGTAGGAACTAAAACCCAGTCCTCTAAATTAAACAGCTTTAAATATCTTACAAACAATGTTTGTGGTTTAACTAATGAAGTGTATTCCCTGTTAGCAATATCACAGATTTTCTAGGGACTCGCGGCGGAACCTGATTTTAAGTTGTAACAGGTCCCTTGAACGTGGCATTGCATCGAAATCCCCTTTATTGTTAGTATTACTTTGCGAAGTTAAACGAAACCGAAACTAAACTTAATTTCTTTATAAACATGCAATTTTATAAAAACTAGAAAGCATGCTTTGCCATATTACTCATATATACCTTTGCTTAATTTTCAGTATTTCAAGTAATAACGTACAACTGCTATTAAGGAGAAGTCCCTAGGAGGAGGAGCAGCTAGCCAGGATGGACAAAATGAGGATATTGAAAGAAAGCCGCCCCGAGATAATCGTCGGTGGCAAATATCGGGTGATCAGAAAGATTGGTAAATAAAATATATAAACAAAGGAAGAGAAAGCTTCTTAAACTGTTTAATTAACCCACAGGAAGCGGCTCGTTTGGCGACATTTACCTTGGAATGAGCATCCAGAGCGGCGAGGAGGTCGCCATTAAGATGGAGAGCGCCCACGCTCGCCATCCGCAGCTATTGTACGAGGCCAAGCTGTATCGCATCTTGAGTGGCGGCGTGGGATTCCCACGTATCCGTCATCATGGCAAGGAGAAGAACTTCAATACCCTGGTTATGGATCTGTTGGGACCCTCGCTCGAGGATTTGTTTAACTTTTGTACGCGCCACTTTACCATTAAGACGGTACTGATGTTGGTGGATCAAATGATTGGACGCTTGGAGTATATCCATTTGAAGTGCTTCATCCATCGTGACATTAAGCCGGACAATTTCCTAATGGGCATCGGCCGTCATTGTAACAAGCTCTTCCTGATCGATTTCGGACTGGCTAAGAAGTTCCGCGATCCGCACACGCGTCATCACATCGTGTACCGTGAGGATAAGAATCTCACTGGTACCGCCCGCTATGCTTCGATCAATGCCCATTTGGGTATCGAGCAGTCGCGCCGCGACGACATGGAATCCCTTGGCTACGTGATGATGTACTTCAATCGCGGCATATTGCCTTGGCAGGGCATGAAGGCAAATACCAAGCAGCAAAAGTACGAGAAGATCTCTGAGAAGAAAATGTCCACGCCCATCGAGGTCCTATGCAAGGGCTCGCCGGCCGAGTTCTCCATGTATCTGAACTATTGTCGTAGCCTGCGCTTCGAGGAGCAGCCGGACTACATGTACCTACGCCAATTGTTCCGGTAAGTAGTGGATAGCCCACGTTTTTTCTTTAGTAATATATAATATAAGAGACTTTGAGATTGCAACTAAATTTAACTTTATTGGATTTCGTTAAATTATCTTGATCTAAATTTGGATTTCTTTGAGAAAGATATATATGTATGTATTGTCACATTTTGGGACACTTCCATAAACATTATGAATTCATAGAAATAAAATAAAATGTATGTTTTTGCTGTTGGCCATTAGGAGGCTCTTTATTTTTCAACAAATCCAAGAAGCCATTGCATTTAAAACTACTAGCATTACATAGCACCACTATCTATATTAGCAATCACATTGACTCTGTATTATATGTTTTAGTCATAGTTTTTTATTTCTTGCGATGATCTAATCCTAACTTTCACCCTCTCCAAAACAGCATACTGTTTAGGACGCTGAACCATCAGTATGACTACATCTACGACTGGACAATGCTGAAGCAGAAGACCCACCAGGGTCAGCCCAATCCAGCTATACTACTGGAGCAATTGGACAAGGACAAGGAGAAGCAGAACGGCAAACCCCTGATCGCGGACTAAAAGCTGGTTAACAACGGCTTGCAAGCGAGGTTGATGGCGGAATAGGGGGGAACAGTACATTAGAAGTGAACAGGAGAACGGAGGTAGTCGCAGGTGAAAGGCCCGACAAGGAAGGAATGATGGAAGGATGGAAATATGGAGCAGCAGCATACACAACACAGCGGGCGTTAGGATGTTTCTTAATATTAATTTAAATTCAATACGAAACAAATAAGGATTCAACAACAACAACAACAACAGCGAAAGCAAAAGTAACATCAAGCAGCAAACAGCGCAGTCAAGCAAAAAACACATTAATGATATCAAATGATACCCCAGCAAATGTGATTCACGAGTGAATCACTGCGATCGATAGCCACACACACGTACACCACACACAACAAATATAACAAATCAATTTGCAATCCAAAACACAACACACAACATACACACATATACTCACACACTCACCCACAAAAAAAACACCCACTCTCATTTACACCCACTCAAAAAAAAAAGCAAACATCATTGCCCAAAAAGAATAAAAAAAAAGTAAGAAAAAACGAAAAAAGAAACACTTAGCCTAATAAATTACAAGAAATAATAATGGTAATGATGGTGGAGCAAAGAGAAGTTAAGCTGAGGAGAAAAACTAAACCTATATATATGTATATGTATATATATAAGCGAATAAACACCATATATGTATGCATATATCCCATTTGATTCACGTCAAATCGAATCCAATGCTTAATTATGAATCGAGCGTAACAAAACTCAATAACTAATTAAACTGGAATAAATAAGAAACAAAAAACAAGAATAAACAATAAAAAAAAAATTAATAAAATACACCGAAAAAAGCAAACAAAAAAATTATGCAGAATAGTTGAGAAGGAGTAAGATGAGGAGAAGAGGAGGAGGAACAACCAAGCAAAAGCCAACTAAGATGGGGGAAAGTAATAAAATACAACCAGCAACAAGAGTAAAACAAACAAATAATAATAATAATTATAATGAAGAAGAAGAAGAAAGAAAGAAAAAAAAAACAAACAAACAGAACGCAAAACTGCAAAGTAAATTTGCATAGTAAGCAGTAATAATTATAAACATAACTTATATTTAATTTTTTGAATTACATCAATAAATATGTTGAAATTAAATTTCGACCTGAAGCTGTTCACAACATGTCTGCATTAGACAGAGATGGGGCATAATAGAAAGGGAGAGAAGAGCAGTGAAATCTATCTATACATGCTTATATGTATTAATCTTATTTTTGACCTTGTTGATTAAAGATTAGGCTTATTGATTTTTAATCCATTTTAATCACTTAGATTATAATTAGTTTTTTTTATTAAACTTTACAAATTATGTAAAAAAAAACTGTTTTTGAAATTTTAGTTTCTATTTTGAACCTGAAAATTATGTTTCTTCTTTATTTATTATTTTTATTTGGCTTATGACAACTTTTACAAAATCTTGAATGGTTGACACTTATGATTTATATAAATATTTAATTAAATATGTAGAATTATTCACTAGGTTTTCAAATTCAGAAAGTCACACGTATAAGGAACAGTACGATGTGCTACTAAAAAGAAATGTTTATGAGATTGAACTGAAACGTGACTTAAAAACTTTTCACTTTTTATCGGAAAAAAAACAATTTTGTTTTATTGCCTTTAGATTAGTACTTTCCTAGCTACATATTAATTTAAATAGCAGGCCGAAGGTTGAGGATAGGTAATCAGTAATATTTTGAATATTTTGATACTACCAATAGTAAAAATTTTTACTCTGACAGTTGTAGTTTGAAGTATTTAAAGTATTTTAATTAAATTAATATTATTTTTTTTATTTACAGATGGATTTTCTTTTATATGGAGCTGAGACAAATTTGGCTGCCGCCTTTTGCAACCCGCATGTGAAATGTATTTATTAGACCCTCTTAATTTTTATGTTTGTTCGTCATCGTTGAGTAATGACACGTACGCCGTTTGTCTGTTTTCGACTCTGCTTTTTATTATTTATTTATTAACTACCATGGGGTGTCCGTCCGCTGCACTACTGACCCATTCCAATCAGTACGCCATTTTCAAATCAGAACTCGCAGCTCGGAAAGCCAACTGCAGTGCTGATAAGGGCAAGTCAACTTCTGATTCAACAGATAGGTGGTTTTCTAATGTCAATAAGTTTTTAGTAAACATATCCATTTATTTCATCACAGATTTTAAAAACTAATATTACATAAGAACTTAGTTTTCTTTTTAAATATATAGATAAATAGATAGTTTCAAAAAATACACCCACGTCTATATTTACCTAAACTATACAATATGAAATTTTATTAATTACTGGATAATTTATAATTATCTTAACAAAACCAATCAAATTTAAATAATATTTCTTACCCGCTCATTACAGGTGCTGCCATATGGTTGACATGTTAAAGAGTTGCCATTCTATTTAAGTTAAAATGTGGCACTCCGTAAATTCGAAACGAACTAGGTGGCACTGTTGTTAGTCAGTTCATTTAAAAAAAAATATATTTGATTGTAGCTTACAAGAAAAATAAACTTCCTTTGGGAATATGCAAGACCTTTTAATAATTAATACAGCGTTAAACGTACATAAACTTATTAAAAATACTGGCTTGATTAAAAATAGAAAATAAATTAAAAAATGACCGCCAACAAATGGGATTAAATGGTCCCACTGGTCAACAACAAGTGATCAGAGGCAGGAAGACAAAAAGAGACAGATAGCTAAAAAGTGTTACCAAATTCAGTTTGATAAAAATACTTGTTTAAGAAGAAGAAGATAAAAATGTCGGCGGAAAAAAGCAAAAAACGCCGATCATTGCGTTGTCGCCTCGCATTCATTTTCTTCTCTTCCAAGCGCGCGGTTCGTTCAGTGGGTAAAAAGTCGTTCAAGTTCCGTTCGCTATTCTCCGGACTCGAATAAAGCCAATATACCGCGGAGTTGTTTTACCGTTTTGAATATTGATCGTGTACGAAAAGAGTCTTGCAAATTTAATAAGAGTGCCGGCGACTTCGATTGATTTTTGAGTTGAACTGCTGCGAATACCTGAAAAAGTGTTTTTTGTTGTTTTTTTTTTATTTGGCGAACGGACGAAGAGCAAAAGGACCTCTGCGGCCGTATATAAAGTAATTAGCTAACAATTTGTGTTTTGCGTGTGTTTCTGGTGTTTGTGCGATCGATTAATGGTGTTATTTTTATTATTACCTTTTTTTTGCAAGTGCCGGAAAACTTTGAAATTGAATTTCTTGAAAAATAACAGTAAAACCTTGCAGTTAAATACTATATATTTTCTACCCGTTGTTCCAAAGGTGTAAAGTAAAAGTAAAAAAAAACAATAGTATGTTCATGTTCAAATAAGCATTCGATTCATATTTGTGCAGACGCAAGGACCTCGAGAATAATATTAAGAAGCAGCAGAAGGAGCAAGCGAAGCAACAGGCAAAAATTCAACAGGAACAACAACATACGCTGCCCTTTATATTTCATTTCATTCCCGTTTTGTTGTTGTTTTTGTGATTTTTGAGTTTGCTGGCGCAGCAATAATATATAAATTACAAACACACAGGCGCATGTGATATGACCACCACTAGAGATCGCACACACACACATATACACAGGCACACGTGAATACAGACACACGGACTGACAAAGAGGTTGAGCGAGCGAGAGAGAGGGAAGAGGATCGAAAGGAAGGGAAAGGAAAGGGACGAAGCGCAAAGCTTATCTCTCCGCTTTTTGAGAACGCAAACGAAGACGATAAAAGCAAAGCAAACAACGCACTCACACACGTGCAACATACATCGGCTGTTGCTGTTTAAAAAAAACCTAAGAATATTAAGAAAAGGAACAAAGCAGACTTCTGATTCTTCCTCTTTTCTTTACACATGTTCGTGAAAAATATCCTGACACGATCACACACGCGCATTTACACGACAAGCACGTGTAATTTCAGCTCCCATTCTCTCTCTTCCTCTGCTTATTATTCTTTACTACCTCTACCCCCGCTGATTTCCATCGTTCGCTGCTAATCAAATGCTCTCTTACTCTTCTAGCTGTTTTTTTTTATTGTTGCAATGCAATATTCGCGAAACCAACAACAACACACATAACTCAACATTCAAGTGCCAAGCAAATAAAAATCAAACGCAAAAAAGAAATATTGAAATATTGCCCAGTGGAAAATATAAAAAAAGCAAACAACAACGGCAAAATCAATAAGAAAAAAGGGATCAACAAAATGTCTGTTACTTTAGTGCAGAAATCGACAAAAATGGCCAATTTCGACTCTTACGACTTATTCCAAAGGGTGAGTTTTTAATAATATTAAATTATTAATTAATTGTTCTGTATGTTATTTTTATAATTGAATTAAATAGGTCTCTTAGGTTTCTTTTTGAATTCTTAGGGGAGTTTTCAGAATTACAAATTTGAAAACGTGCCTATTAAATATTCTTATGGGGATCGTCTCTAAACACTGTTTTTCTGAAGGGTGCCCTTGGTAATAAGGATTTCTTTCCTTTTTGATAACAATATTTATTAATATTTTCAACATTTTTTTTAAATATTAATATATATTAAAAAAACTGGGGTCTGGAATACTTTTAGTTTCCTAGCTCAATCACTTGGAAACAATAATTCAAAAATGATCAACTTTGGCTTTTGAGTGAAAAACACTTAAAATATTTTTAGGTCGACAACTTGAAACATGCCTAAACCACATGTTTTTTGTTTTTTCTTGGTTTCACTTATTTTAGGAGTTGCATTTTGTGGTGTTTTTTTTTTTTTTAATTTTTGTGTGTCGTCGTAAAGGCAATATGTGCATCGTTTGCTTAATTTCGATAACTTGTTTTCCATTTTTCATTTCGTTATATTTCCGTTTCGTTACACTTGCATTTCTTGTTTGTTATTCCCCATTATTAAAGCTGATTCATAATTATTATTACGGTTTGTCAACTCACAAAAAAATGAAAAACAACAACTAAAACGGTAAAAAAAGGCGAAAAAAGAAGCAGCAAAATAACGACAGACTGTAAAGTGGACTAAATAATTGTCCGATAAGGATTTTCGTTGTTGTTTTTTGATAAGTGTATTGGAGAAGGGGCGGGCCATCCCTCTCTTGCTTGCTCCTTCTCTTTGTCCCTCTCCTTTTCTTCACATTTATTTGTTACAATTGGCGTCATCGCAGCAGCATCATTAAAAGCAACAACAACAATAACGCCACTCGTGATCATTTACTGTTTGTATATACATATACATATACTTTATGTATAAATGTATATGTGTGCGTGTTATTGGCAGCGACGTCGACAGAGCAGCTGTTGATCGACAACAAATTCGATTAACTCAAGTTCCGGGTTTGCTTTGGCTGGATTTTTGTGTTTTTAGTGATTTCTGTTGTATTATTTATATTATAACTTTTATTTTTTGAATTTGTTTTGTGTTGCTCTTAAATGAGTCAAGAGCTCTGCTGCTGCGATTACGTGCAAAGTTTTGGGTTGTTGTTTTTGCCGTTTGAGTGAAATGAAAGAGAGTGGAAGGTGTAGTGGGAAAGCTCAGCAAAAGGGAGCTGCACTTTTGTTTTGATTTTCTAGTTATTCTGTTTTCTTTCCTTTTTTTTTTTTTTTTGCAAATTTGCGTAAACTAAAAGGCAAAGCCAAAGGGTCAAGTAGAACCACAAAATAAAGAAGGAAAACAAAAAAAAACCAAGGAAAAGAAGAAAAACAAACAGCAAAAAACAACGAATAGGGCCAAGGCAGGTTGACGTCCGATAAAGTTGCAAATACTTGATGAATGAACTTTGCATCTGCCGCCCTGTTATCGATTATCGACAGGCAACAGCAGCAGCAGCTAATATTCGCATGGAAAATTCATTTGTTTCTTTATTTTATATTATTATTTTGGTTGTCGTATTTTGTCATTACGCAGCGCTTTTTGTTTTTGCGCCTTTGAGCCAGCAACAAAAGCTGCAGCCAATTGATGCCGAAAGCGAAAGGGCGCAATACACACACACACACAAAAAAACAACCAGACTTACACATAGAAAATACTGTTGCAGCAGCGCAACTTTTTCAGGTGACAAATTTGTCGTAATTATTTTTTTTTTAAATATATGTATATGTATATATCTTAAATATCGTAAAAAAATCATGGTTTTATAAAGACAAATCTGCCAAAATCGTAGTGTTTTAAATCTTAAAAAAACATTTTATATGATGTCCATGTTTCGGTTTTTGGTTCATTGCTTGCGACACTTTAGTCGGGTGGAATGTCGAGTGATAAAAAGAAGGAAAGGAAAGGGAAGGGAGATTGGAGAATAGAGCCCCAAAAAAGAAGAGGAGAGAAGGGAGCGCCAACTTTGAAATTCACTTTTTTGCATAACTTTTAATTTCTCGTTTTTCTTGGCTTCGTCTTGATTTTATTATGAAATTTATACGTATTACCATGTGTGCATTGTATGCAGTTTTTTTTACTTTCTGTGCTCAATACAGTGAAAGATAACTAACTATATGATAATCTAAAATCTTTGTTTTAAAGAAAGGGATTTTTAATAACATTTTGTAAAAACAAATTCATAGATTCAAACCCGGACATTTGTCAAATGTTTAAGGCTACTTTTTTTTTTTGAATTTTATAATAATTTAAGAACAGCATTTTATATATTAGGCCCTTGCTTTTTAAATGGCCAATGGGTCGATGTACACTAGTGGCCACTGTAGTTGTTTGACTCGTTTGTTTGCTTGGCTTTTTTTTATTTCTGCTTCTCTGCTTTCAGGCTGCTGAAAAGTAAAATGTGTAAAATGTGCTTAGTTTGTTATATCGAAATCCTCGTACGTAATCAGCGGTATTACGTTTCAACAAACTCCTCCATCTCCTCCAACTCCTCCTCCACCAGCACTCTTTACTTTACCTTCTCTTTGCACCCCTCCTCCACCTCCCTCTTCGCTTCCCTCTCCTGCTGAGAAGAGGCTCACTTACACTTACAAGCGACAAACGGCGACTACTTTTTACGAATATAATTCCATTTCCTGCCAAGGCGATAACAACAACGTCGTCGTTTTATTTTGATCTGTGTTTTTTTCCTCAGCTGTGTGTGTTTGTCCCGACGCCATTGCTGCCAGAAGAAGAAGAATACGAATCAGTGTGGTGGGGGAGGAGGAGAAGAAGGAGTAGGAGTAGGAGTTCAAGGAGGAGGAGAAAAAGAGCGAGTGTAGCGACCACCACCGCTACCTACCTAAAAAAAAGGCAACTCTTCAATCTTCAATCCTCATTCACTCTCCTCCTTCTTTTTAGCCCCCTCCTACTATTTTTTCGTCTCCCCCGCCTCCATCTCCTTCGTTAACCCTCAACTTCGCAGAACGTCATTTCATTTCGATTCGATCCGACTCGACTCGATTAATATGCAGCCCCATCCCTAAAGTCCAGGTCCAATACCGCTTATACCCATTCCTCCATCTCATCGAAATCCCAGGCTCAAGTCCCCGTACCTCTTACTCTGTCCCTCGTTCACCCACACTTACTTACAATGCAAGCGCAGCAACAGTGTTGCCAGCTGCAAATTATATTGAAAATTGCTTCTAATATCCCGTGGGATTGGATTTCAAATAAGCCTAACTTTCTATACTTTAAGATCGGGATAGTGATATTAATTTATCTATTTCGTTCTTATTTTTAAAAGTAATGTTATAAAAGTGATTTTAAAAATAGCTAGAAAATTCACCTGCTAAGGTATAAGATCTTACAGAACTTGGCTATAAAAAGGCTAAATTGATCGTCACATCCACGTAAACTCACTACTCAACGGGGCACTTAAACTCATGAAACGCATGAGGATATGAGGCCGGGGCAACAACAACAAAAAGAACACATTGTCAGCATATTGACTGGCTGACCCTTGAGATACCCTTGGATGGTGAGGAAGGGAAGATAGAGCGGGGGTAAGTTGGACGAGCAGAAGAATAAGAAGAAGCAGAAGAATAATGGGATCCTCAGTTAGTTTGTCAAGAGTTTATTGGTCGATGGGGGTTGAAAAATTGAAAATCACAACCCAGGATCATTTCAAAAAGGATTTTTGTTCTCAAATCCAAGAAAATTATAGAAACACAGTTGTGGCCAAAATAATAGTATTTCTTTTTTATATTTTACAATTTAATTTTCATTGCCTGTATAAAAAGGTTTTCACAAGGAGTCCAAAAACAAATACATATTTCAGTTTCAACAAAGTAATTTACTTAAACTTAATTGTTCGCCAATTCTTTGTTTCTCCCGCCACGAAAAAAAGAATTATAAATAAGTTATTTGCGTGCGAAGCTACTGGCTGCTTATTATTATTATTATTAGTATTATTGTTGTTGCTTTTGTTTCTGGCTGTTCTCTTATCGTGCAGTTGTAAAAAAAAATACATATAAAAAACATGCACACAAATTAAATACACATATACTCGTTCACTCGCTGCTCTCTTTTGCCTTTGTCGTCGCTTTGCTATCTCGCCCACACCAACGCTTTTTAAAGTGCTGTCCCCCCATTCTCCAGTTGGTTCGCTCTCTGTCGCTCTTTGGCTTTGGCCTGGCTTGGCGTTTGCTGTTGAAGCGGAGGGGAGGATAAAGCGAGAGAGCGAGCCAGGCAGGCGTGCGCATTGGGGCCCTGTCTGTCATTGGCCAGAATGGGATGGAGAATAGTGTGGCGAAGACACTTCATATTCTATTGTCAATTTTTGGTTTTGTTGTTATTTTTGCTGTTGTAATCTTGAAATTGTCTTGGCTGTGTGCTGTGTGTGCTTATTGTTGTTGTTGGTATTATTGCTAATGGCCGCTCAATTGAGTGCCAAAGTACATCTCGCCCTCTCCTTCGCTCGTTCACCTCCACCTCCTTTGCCCCCATCTGTTTGTTTGTTTGTTGTTTGCATGGACAGAAAGAAAAATATAGATTTAAATATATTGAATTTCTGAATTTTTACTTTAATACTGATTTGTAAAAAAATGTACTTTCATTTTTAACTACTTCATATCATTTGAATATCAAAATGATATAAAAATTGTAAATTTCATGTATTAGCTATGTCGTTTTTTCTTTGTGTACTTGAAGGCGGGTTATTTTGCATTTAGAATCGATCTTAAGTTTGATTTTCCCCCGAGTTCTGGGAATGTGTGGAAAATAATATTATCCGCGTCTTGTTATTCGCAGAAAACTCCATAAAACAGCCTGTATTTGTGTGTGTATCTCTCCAGTTTTTAACTATTTGCTTCGCTTATTAATTTCGTTAATATTTCCATTATGCTGGCTGGCATTTGGTTTTCACGCTTTTCATGC